TTTATACTATAAATATTTTTTTTTTCCTAATCTCCTACGAACTGATATAATATGACGAGTAATCTATTAAATTACTGTGAGATTATATGCCTCGATAACATATTGGTGCAGATTATTTTCACCCAAACAAATAATAGCCCAAACTATACATTGATGCGGATTGTCTATGAACTCTTTCTGAAGGTCACAGAAACCTGAACGCGGAATTCGGTGTTCTTTCGCATCTGTTATAGTTAATTTGTGACGCTGATATGACGTTGGAGCCGTAGTAAGGCAGGTTCGAATCCTAGTCAAGGCGACTTTTTTGTAATCGTTTTTTTTTTAATTTTTTGATATTTATTTTTACTTTTTACAAAATTAGTATTGATTAATACAATTTTCAGTAATGTGTTTCTTCATTTTTTTTTAAATTACTTATTTATACGCGCATTCAGAATTTCAGTTAAATCGGAAAAAAAGTTTATAATAATATAGTGTCTAATGTCACTTATGTTGTATAGATAATGAATGGTACGGAACCGTTCGTGCGCGAGTCCGACTCGCACTTGACCAATTTTTCTCTTTATTTTATTTATTCACCGCTAAAAATATGCAAAAATGTCTCTTGTAAAAAAAAATATCGAGGTTTTCCAAAAAATCTTGGGAAGTATTTGAAAGAAAATTTTTTAGATTTCAAAACATGATGTTTTTAGGGTTCAGCAAGGCGCAACAAATATGCTCAGACAGTCAGGCGGCACTTGGAGAGCTTATAAGCCCAAAGGTATCGTCGAGACTCGTCGGGGAATGCCTAGGTGAACTGGGAGCTCGGGCTCGAAGGAACAGAATTAAATTATTCTGGTCCAGAGCCAGTATTGGAAATACCCAAATGTATGGCTCGTAGTGCACTAAAACTCTGGATCAGGGAATAGCAGAATGTCCACTGGAGAAACAGAGAGGGGCACAGGCACAGCAAGGCTTTTATCCAATGACCTAGCTCTAAAACCGCTAAAGAACTGATAATGCTTAGCAGGAATAAATTGCGGGTTACAACAGGCCTCTTGACAGGACATATGGCTGTCAAGTGTTACCTGAACAAGCTCAACCTGTATCAAGGAAGTCTTTGCTGCAGACTCTGTGATAAAGATCCTGAAACAGCGGAGGACATAATATGTCACTGCGAGGCTCTGGATCGCAAGCGACACTTTTTATTTGTTAAAGCTAGGCTAGAACCGGAGGAACTATGCTCCCATCCTGTCAAGGACCTGCATAAGTTAGTGCAGGGCACAGGGATAGGAGAATGGGTGCATATAGAAAGGGGACAAACATAATAGGCCTCACAGGCCGCAGTGTTTCCGGCAGAGGACGGCCCCTTATTGTGAAAAAAAGGCGCAACTTTGCTTTAATTTAACCATCTTATTACTTTTGGTTTACGAGAGATCCCTGTTGGAAAAAACTGAAAAACAACATCCTACCACTATGTGACTCTTTATCTACCTCATTGGAGAAAGCAATCATGACTCGAAATATTATACATTTTTGCACAAAGACATTGTGTGTATCCGATGTACAGACCCCGAACGGTATATCAAAACGAACCCATCGCCATCGAGCGGTCAAAAGTGAATAAATATGTTGGCCAGTTGCAAATTTATGAAACCGCAGCCAAGCCATTATTCAACAGTTGTTGGTCGAGGCACTTCGATCAGCTGGCTATCTCAATTTACCGACTTATATATTAATATGACGGCGGCTTCTAGACCGCGGTCGCCATCTGGTGGCCGGACTTTCATTATAAAATAGCCAACGGAATCTTAGTGCTAACGTAACATGCAAAACGTTGTCGGAAATTACAAGGATTTTTCTTTTTTTTTGAATTGTCGGTTTCAGGAATTTTGTTGTAAATGTATCACTGAATAGTTCATGGGTATAACATGTGCTCATTCATTTAACTTTGGAAGAATGTGAAGGTTTCAATAATGTTTCATTTGCGATCATTCATTGAGAGTTTAATTAACCTTGTAATGTATGGCTTTTACCAAAATTTTGCCATACTCGCACTCACACTACCTAAGTGAGCTTTTCCCTTCTTGTAATAGGACGAGGTCCTGTCAATTGTCTTCTTGTGACGTCAATTGCCTTTATGTCCAGCTGTCATTCCAGCATTTTGGGCGGCTACCAACTGGGCGGTCTTGTTTCTGGTTTTTGTGTTTTAGTCCACTTGACCTTCTGTCTACGTGGTCTTCCAACAACGGTGCCTTGCTCTTACCCATTAGGCCAGTCAATCTGGAGGTTGAGGTGGAAAAAATTAGTAACCAACCAATCTCAACTGGAATGTGTAGATAATGATCTCCCTTTAACCATTTGGTGCCAGTGGGGGAAGTTTGAAAAAAACTACCGTCATCTTGGATTTTTTTGTTTTTTTTAAATATCTCCTTTTGCATAGCTTTTTTCGAAAAAACTAAAGATATGTTTTTTGTAGAGAATTAAATGTAGAATATTTTACCTTCAATATAATTTTTTTCTAAAATAAATAGTAATAGAGAGTTCTGTTCTTGTTCCAGCAGCGTAAGTCAGTATGGGTCTAAAACTTGGGATAGACCTAACAAACGTTACCATTTGTTCGCATTCGCGAGGAAATGTTTCTCAGGTGTGGACGTACATTCGCAGCGAATGTACATCACGACGAATGGTTTAATCGTAAACAAACGCTTTCCATCTTCTGGCGGTAAAAGTGAATAAATCAAAGGAAAATGCGAGCAGCGAATGAATAGAAACATTGCAGTGTGGTAGAGGTGGGAATTCTAGTTCTTTGGGAAGAACTAGTTCCTTAGTTCTAGTTCCTCCAGAGGAATAGTTCCTTGAACTAGGTCTTTAGTTCACAATGGTTCCCGACTAACATTGACATACCCATTGTTTGCTAATGCGTTTCGTTGTCAGTCAGAACTATCTACAGTATGATCTGTATAATTTTTATAATGTACGCAATATAACGAAACGTGTAATTGCGTATGTTAAAAACATATAGGTAAGTTTTATTGTAGATAAAAAAAATAAAAAAGAAACTCAAATCAGAATTTAAAAAACTATATCACCAATTAATTGGAGCAAATAATACGAAAAATTGCATTTTTTCTTATACTTGAAGCTTTTTTTTGGTCATAAAATTCAGAATATCTACTTCGTTTTATTATAAGATATTTCTTAATTTTATGGACCTAAAGTGAAACATTCCCATAAAATATTGAAAGAACAAACTGAAAATTAAAAACAGTATCCACGACAATTTTCTGTGGTAATTACGCCGGCTGTGGCAATAGGCAATCCCGAATCCATGGTCGTCGATACAACGCGATATATCTCGGACCTGCTGACTGAATAAATTCCCGTGAACTAGTATTTTAATTAGTTCCTCTCAGTCCTTTCGATCCAGGACAGGTAACATACGGCTGGCACTTTACACTCCCGCCTGGCATCGGGCTACGATCGCGCTGGCCGATCCGTACGTAAACTAGTCTTTTATTTAGTTCCTCTAGTTCCTCTAGGTCCGGATCCTATAACATACGGCTGGTACACCCCATTCCTGCCTAGCATCATGCTACGATCGGGCTGGCCGATCCGTCGCCGTCGCATATTATTATATATCGGTTACAGTCTCGATCCCGGAATAGGTCCTGAGGAACTAGCTCTTTGAGAAACCGGGAACTAGTTCCTTTCATTCCGGAGTCGGAATAGTTCATTGGAACTAGTTCGTCTTTGGGAGTCGGAATAGTTCATTGGAACTAATTGGCGTCTGGGATTTTTTTGACATAAGAAATTTGATTTTGATGTCAATATTATGTGGCCTTGCATGTGTCGAGGTCGAATCCCAACGACACCTTTTGGCCACAATGACAACAATTTTTAAGTAAAGAATTTCCAGAAGTATCCTCTGAATATCATAAATCTAAATATACTGATATTTACGCCTTAATGAAAGTTATTTTATTTATTATATTGACAATGTAAAAAGTTCCAAAAGATTAGAATAGAACTCAAATTTTTATTTTCAAAATGTTAGGGGTCTTTGGACTAAACTAGGAAGCTTATACTCTGCAGTTTTTTCTGATAATTTCGATATCATTGCTTTGACAGAAATCTGGCTAAATATATTTTTATGATAACGAAGTGATTGATGATAGGTATGAATTTATTCGAAAAGACAGACCTGCCAGTACGAGAGGAGGTGGAATACTTTTAGCAATAAAAAAGGATATCCAGTTTGAAGTTGTTGATGTGTGCTGTGAGAGTGAATTTATAGTAGTTAATATTAGATATAAGAAAAATGTTTTGTTTGTATCGTTAGTGTATTTTGCTCCTAATTCTAGTATAGAAACGTATCAACAATTTTTTTGATTTGTTCGAAAACATTATTATAGACAGTAAGATTAAAACTGTAATACTTGGGGATTGCAGTACCCATGAAAATTGCATACACATTGTGAATGCAATATATCTCGTAAACAGTGAAACGTAAAAAAAATTACACATCAGTTTGATAGGTTTTTTTATGCTCTTTACTTGTCTTTATTGGTCTTTACCTGTCTTTACTACTCTTACTAAACATTGCGACAGTAAAAGAAATGGCTTCACACGAAAAAAATGCAAAAAATGCGTTCTAACTTTGTCACCGTAGGTCTTAAAGGTCTGTTACTTGGAGAATGATGAAAATGTAGAGAATTTAGTTCTCTTCATTTTTTGTTCCATACAATTTTCTGTGAACCTACGCCTACGGTTCAGCCAGAAAATCAAATCCAAACATTTTTGGAGTTTTTCAAAAACGGTGGGGTGGGGGGGGTACGAATTTTCGAATTTAAGCTTTTCCAGTGTACCACTTACGACTGGCAAAGTATGAGGGCGGGGGTATTTTGATGGGAGTCTAGACCTTTTTTGATGCCAGATTGACTGTACTAATAATTTATTCTTAATAAATAACTTAAAAAAAAGTTTTAATTAAACTAATAACATTTTTTCTTGTTTTTCAGATTTTTGATTATGTGGATGGCGGAGGGGGCGGTGGAGGTGAACTGTGGCCGATGGACAGACCTGATGGAATGCCCGCTATCCAGTCCTTGGAGGTTATGTGTGGAAAAGATCATATGGACGTCCATCTGTCGTTTTCACAGCCCTTCGAAGGAATAGTGTCTAGTAAAGGTCAACATGGCGATCCTAGGTAAGCATTTTGATTATTATTATTACCGTTGAATAAATATATTAAGGAAGGAGCATATCAACAAACTTAGTTTTGGGAAAAACTTGAATTTTTGATATAAGTTACTTAAAAAGATCTCTAAAAATGAATTGAGAAAGATTTTTTTTAAATTCACCCCCGGGAAGGGGTGAAATAAATAAATAAAATTATTTTTTCGAAATTTCAGAGAAACGGCAAGGACTAGAAAAAAAAGTTCAAATAAGAGTTGTAGAGCGTTCATTTTTACAATAGAAATGATCTCTATACTTTTTTTGCTCAGATCAAAATTAACCGAGATAGGGTGGCTAGAAGCTAGGGGATGGTAGTAGAAATATAAAAAATATAGGTTGCTGAAAAATTCATATATTTAACATTTTTATTCAATCTGTTTAGAAAATTATAAATTTCAATTAAAATTTTTTGAAAATTGAAATAAAGTTTTTTTTTCAATTTTAGAGAAACGGTATGGACTTTGAAACAAATGTTTCATTAAAAGCTGTCCCCATTAGCGTAACTAGCAATTTATCAGGGGGGGCCTAAGACTTTTGTTTTTTTAAAAATGAAAAATTATTTTAAAAAACAAGTTTTTTGAATAAAACATTTACATGAATTTCTCTATCAATAAATTTCATAGACTTGGTTATCAAACCGTGTTCTCGTAGATTACTTAAATACCTACAAATTTTCTCAAAAAAAAATAAAAATTAACACATTTTTTAAACACAACAAAATAATATTAACTATACAAAACTAGAAAACGTCATTTTTACTGCATCACAAGCAAATAAAAATTAATACGTAGCCAAGAGTCATAATTCAGGATTTCTTTGGGGGGTGCCCAGCAGTACTTGGGGTGGGGGAACCCGGCACCCCCGGGCACCCCTGTAGTTACGCCAATGGCTGTCCCCTAGCTTCTAGTCACCCTGTCCCAGTTAATTTTGATTTGAGCAAAAAAGTATAGAGATCATTTCTATGTAAAATTGACAGCTCTACAACTTTAATTTGTAACAATTTTATTTATTTATTTCACCCCTTCTCGGGGGTGAATTTAGAAATACATAGATAACATTAAACACCCCCTTAATCTGTTTATTCAAATGAAAAGACATATTGTTGCGTTTAGAACTCTTAATAAAATATGATAAAAAATCAATAAAAGTAGGTATCATTTTTCAATGTAGATTGTGAATCATAATGAGTAGGTACTTACAGCACGTATTTTATTCATCTTTTTAAGCTTGTTGAACGTCTAGACAAATCTATATGCAATACCAATAACTGTCGTAATATTAATTACACTCCTATTAATTGTAATTTACGTCCTGCTTATTGGTACAAACTTGCGATTTTAACATTAAATGATAATTTTCCCGCGTATGTTTATGTAATAACACAGGTACCAGCGGATAATCCCAAAATATTGTACAATAAATAAAGAAAAGTATCATTTTACCATTTTTAGTGGATATACAGGGTGTCCTAGGCTGAGTGTGCATTAGAACTTTCTAGAGAACTACAATATCTATATCGGAGATTTTTTGCACGTCACTGTTTCACAACGAGATCTATCGATTAAAAATATTTTTAATATGGCGGCATTTCGGGAACTACCGGAAGTTGGCAGCAACTTTCTTATTTTAAATGGGTAGCCCCATTTTTTATTACATACTTAAATTATCCGTAAAATTCTATGAATATTGATGTTAAACACACTATATCTAACATTAACCGTTTTTGTGAAAAAAAATATTTAACATTTTTGGACGGAAAAACCTACCTGTCAAAAAAATTTGTATAGCCTAAAAGTCAAATTTAGTGATTACCACAACCACTGTGACATAAAGAGAGGATATGTGGCTATCTATTTCAAAAATTAAATTGTTCAAAAGTCATATAATAATGGTGGTAGCTGTCATGGAAATGAGGGATTAAAAAATTATCATAAATCATTTTTTTCAAATGGAAACCCATTTTTTTTATTTTAGTAATAAAAAGGTTTTTTAATTCGTTATTTTCTAACTATACATGTTCCTATACCTAAAATAAATCGTTATTAAGTTATTTAAGATTTAATTTGAAAACGTATATTTTTTTTGATTTTATCTAGCTTCCTTTGACATTAAGTGTAAAACGGTCAGACAATTTATTTCCATCTGTCAGAAAACGAATTATTTGAATTTCTTATATAATAAATACTGCCTACTTAAGAGTTTAAAAAGTGTATTTATAAAAATATATCTCGTATTTTCGCTCTTTAGCTTCGCTCTAAAAGTTGATATTATTAGTAATATTCTATTCTACTATTCTTCCGTATGATGAAATGATGAAAAATGAAAAAAAAATAGCGCAAAGTTGACTCGGAAATGATGCTGCTTTTTGAATAAAGCGTCACAATATGACATGATCAGATCTATTGTTCTACATCACTTGACGTTTAAAGTCATAGGCTACTGGTTAAAATCAAGAAATATATACGCTTTAAAACTAAATCTTAAATAACTTAAAACGACTTATTTTAGGTATAGGAACATGTATAGTCAAAAAGTAACGAATTGAAAAGCCTTTTCGCTAGTGAAATAAAAAAATGGGTTTCCATTTGAAAAAAATGATTTATGATAATTTGTTAATCACTGAATTCCATGACAGCTGCGGCCATTATTATATGACATTCAAACAATTTAATTTTTGAAATAGGTAGCCAGACTTGGGTCGAATACTGAAATTCGGTATTCGAATATGAATCCTGAATACTGTATTCTAAATTGTATTCGAATACTCAAGATTCGAATATAAAGAAAAAAAAAATCGAATACCGCTGTATTTGAATACCTGGATTCATTTAAATATGAATACTTTTTGAATATTCCAACAAAAAAACATATCCGTACTTTAAACTTGATTTTTATTTATGTGCTTAAGTTATAAAAATATGGAACACAATAAAGTAACAAAAAATAACTGTACATATAGCAAAAAAAGCTTACCTTCTTAAAAAAATCTTAAATAATAAATAAAACAACAACTTTTTTTCCTGATAAAGAACGGACATTAAAATAGTCAGGAATTAGCCTCCGTCTTTTTGCGCACCCTTGCTCATAATCCGAGTCGGACGAACCTCCAACGGCTCCAACAAACGGTTCTTCTGGCTCTGAACCATCAGAAATGGTTTCCCGGGTGACGATATCTTTCTCCATCGGTAATCTGCAAAAAAATCTCTTTACGTTAAGTTTATAATATGACAGGAATCCATTACTTAACCATACATAGAAACTCCGGAATTAACCATTTGTAAGATATTTATTTAATAATTTTTAATTTCCTTGATTTTAAAATCCGAATATTAATTTGAAATATTCATCAACCAAATAAAAATGGCAAAATAAAATTATAAAAGGTTAATCATTGTTGCTTAGTGAAACAAAAGTTGACCTTTATCCAAATTTAAAATCTACAGAAAAGGAAATTTACAATATCCACAAAATTGCTGATAATTTAGAGAGCCGATTTCTTGAAACACCATGTATATATTTTTAAAAAATATATCAAAAATAAAATAAAATGAAACACATGTTGAAGCGTTTTTCCTAAAACTAACGGTTCTTCAAATAAAAAATATTTTAATATTAAAGGGATGATTTCAGTGAGTCAATCAAGCATTTTATATATTAGTATAGATTACTAGAATAAAACTTAATAGGAAAATACATGAATCTTAAACAATGTACCCACTTAATTAAAAAATTAACTTACCTTTTCATATAGCTATGTACTTTGTCTGGTTAGTCTGGTATCACACACAAATTATAAAGGTGCGTATTCATTATCCGAACGAACGAACGAACGAGCGAGCGAACGAATGGGATTCGGTATATTTGGACGGTGGACCGAACGCATGCGGTCGTTCGTTTGTTCGTTCGCTCGGCCATCCGTTTCGAGTCGGTAAATCAAAGGCGTTCGCAAACGAATGGGTTAAAGTGTTTTCGTTTGGTTCTAAAATCCGGTCCCGTCCATACTACTACCGAACGAACGAATGAACATTCGTTCGTTCGTTCGGATAGTGAATACGCACCTTAACAGGTATTAAAATTTATAATAAAATACCTAGAATGGCGATACTGCACAAGTGCACACGTAATATCTAATCGTGATCCTTAAGCGACCTGTCTCGTCTCACGATTTGGCGATGATTAAATCGTCCTATTACTGCCAAAAGTCACTAACTAACATTTTTCCGAACAACCAAATTCAATTACTAAATATGTTTTTAAGCGGAGAATCGATTGCAAAAGTCATTAACTACGATTTCTGGCTATTTATGTTTTATTTTAATACCGAATAGTTACTAACTATAACATCTTTATGCATTGCAATTCATCTTTAGGCGCATTTTTCTCGGAAGTAATAAAAAGTAAGTTAGTGACTTTTGGCAGCAATGGGACGAAATTTAACTCGATTGTCGGCATCGCGAACTGAGAACCGTCCGCAACCCCCGTGAACGTGTTTTAACAAGCTTAAGTTGCGTAAAGCGTAAGCAATATTCATAAACAAAATCAAACAGGATTCGAATACCGGGATTCCAATACAGGATTCGAATACCGGGATTCGAATACAGGATTTGAATACTGGGATTCAAAAACGGTATTCAGAATCCAGAATACTGATTAGTGACCAAAAAGTATTCAGTCGAATATCAAATACCAAATACACAAATGTATTCGAATAGTATTCGAATACCAGTCAAAAGTACTCTGAATAGGATTCAGAATACCGAGTATTCGAATACTATCCAAGTCTGTAGGTAGCCACATGTTTTCTCTTATGGTACAGTGGCTGTAGTAATCACTAAATTTTACCTTTAGACCAAACACGTATTTTTGACAGGCAGTTTTTGGTTTGGTTTGATTTGTTTTTTTTCGTTCAAAAAATTTAAATATTTTTTTTCTCAAAAACGGTCAATGTTAGATATAGCGTGTTTAATATCA